AAGATAACTCTCCCTTTAAAGCACTCAAAGCAGAGGGCATTAGAGTTTCCTGGATATTTGTTAACAGCTCTTATTTTAATATCAACACTAATTTTTGTGTGCAACCATGAGAATTCAAAACACCAATATCATAAGAGCTCACTTTCTCATTTCAAAAGCTGTACTAGAAAATTTAGACACATCTTGTAAGAATAAAAACTTAATTTGCATCGCACTATGTCTTCATTATGGTATGTAAAGATAAATCTTTACACTTTTAAGACAAATTGTTATTATCCCACTACTACAAATGGAAAATGAACGCAGAAATTCCTGAACAGCAGCAGAAACAATCAGTGCCAAGGATATTTGTGTGGAGGAGTTAAAAAAAAAAAAAAAAAAATGGGCAACGAGAGCCCAAGATTTCTTAGGACACAAAGTCTTAGTTCCACACCTTTGTCGCCACCGCCGTCTTCGTCTTTTGCAGGCCAGTATTTCATTACTGGGACTTTATACACCAAAGATACAGCACATGAGCTTTGTGGGGTTTTTGATGATATGAAAGTAAGTTTTTGAAGTCATGTAGTCATACCAACTGGGCAAGATCAGGAACTGTGGGGTGTCGGTATACTCGAACCTGGCCTTAGCTCCTGCATACCAGCATTCCTCCTCAGAGTACAAAACCAAGTCAGTCACGTCTCTGAAATGATGCACTAACAGAGACTAACGGAGTCTGAGCGCTTTTAGAACACTTTAGCAGACACTTGGCCACAGAACTACAGCAAATCATTCCTACATTTCATCTCTTCCATCTTAATCCTTAGAAATCCAGTGTGTATGGATCAACCCTACCAAATTATGCATTAACAAAGATAATCAGAAATTCTGTGGTACTAGTCTTGTGTAAAAGTTAATGTTGATACATATCAAAGATTTTAATCTTTCAGCTACTGTTGAAAGTAAAATACCATTCCTTTGTTTCCACCAATCCACCCCACGTATTCCCCTCCCCCATATATATATTATTTTTTTTGATGTAGCGCGTATCTTCATCGATCAAGACCAACTCAATGGCTGACACACATTCCTTGCATTTTATGGAAATTTCAGGCTGCTTTTTTGACAAAAGTTATACTGGCTTGGGTCAAAATGGTTAATTCCTGTATCTTAAACCAGAAAGCATTCAATTTTTTTTTTAATTTTTTTTTTTTGGCATGAATTGCAGGAAACAGTTTACTGAGATTGTGAATTTTGCTGGGAAAACTTGGCCCACAGATGTGCTCCGGAACTGTATCATTACCACTTGAAAAAACACCCAGTCCCGTGATGTGATCCTCTCCTAGTGCAGACTATCAACAATTAAAATCGGAATGTCAGCCTCGGGACAACCTGGTGCACAGAATAAATTTATTTTAATAATCTTTACTTTTTCCAAAAGATTATGGTAACAGATCCGACAGAAACCCAGAACTCAAAAGTTCCCTTCACATTTTTCAGCAGAACTTTAATTACATTATGGTAACAAGAAGTTTAACCCCCCTGCTCTTGAGGATCAATAAAATTAGGTTACTTAAATATCAGTATTAACACTACTAATCTCTACCAATCATTTTTAATGCAATTAAACATGTAGCCTCAATAACTCACTATAGCTAGTAGGAAGTTTTATTTCTTTGATTTTTTTCACTTTTTTTTTTTGTGAAGATTGTCTTATTGGCTCATTATTCCTCAAATGAGGGAGGTTAAGTTGCCTTTGACGCTCTCAGTAAATACATGTCAGCAATGACTAGGATGACTTTTACTTGGAAAAAAAATTGTTCCTAACTCTTCCCATAGTGAAATCCCACTCTCGATACCGTCCAGTGCAAATGGGACTACACCTCTGTACTATGGTAATTTAACTCTTTCTAGCCACATTATGTCATTAAATGATTATACTTTATAAACACAGAATATTAATAGCCTACCTACTAAAATGACCCACATGTTGAAATGTAAACATTTAAAATAGAGGCCTCTTTGCAGAAGAATCCTTCTGTGCTTGCATTTATCAGCGTTCCCTAATCTTCACTCATTTCTTGCTTTCAGATTGTATTTGAACTGTCAGTTTTGACTTCCAAAGCGTATTGAACAGCCAAGAACAGGCCTGACAGATCGCATCTACGCACCACGTGCTTTTACCAGAAGAACTGTGA